AAAAACAGACACATAGAGCAATGAAACAGAATATACAGCCCAGAAATAAACCCACACACATATTGATCAACTAATCTTTGACAAGGATACCAAGAATACACAATAGAAAAAGAACTTCTCCAATAAATGGTGTTGAGAAAGCTGGATATCCACATACAAAAGACTGAAATTGGATCATTATCTCACACCATACACAAACTAAACTCAAAATGAATTAAAGATTTAAAAATGAGACCTGAAACTGTAAAAATTTTAGAAAAAGAATAAAAGAAAAGCTTCTGGACATTGGCACTGGCAATGATTTCTTGGCAGCAAAAGCACAAGCAACAAAAGTGAAAATATACAAGTAGAAATATGTCAAAGTAAAAAACCTCTGTAAAGTACACAATCAATAAAATGAAAAGATAATCTCCAGAATGGGGAGGTATGTTCAAACAATGTATCTGATAAAAAGTTAATATCCAAAATATAAGAAACCACTACAACTTAACTATACACACAAACAAAAATATCCTATTATAAATGGGCAAAGGAAATGAATAGACATTGGTCCAAAGAAGACACACCAATAGTCAAGAGATGTATGACAAGGTGCAGGGAAACCATGGCCTCACCCCAGCCACAGCCCACTCCCAGAGATGGGGTGAAAGCAGAATGAAATTACTTTCAGAGTTAAAAGACTATTGAGAAAACAAAATGGAAGTCAGGTACTAGATTTCTCATCAATAAGGTAAAATAATCTAACCAGATGGCTCACCTCAGTATTCTTCTAACTCAGAATGTCTACATAAGAAAGCATCATTTTATTATTTTTAATAACCATAGTACCTTAATTGTTTCTATATTGATTATCTATTTGTACTTTTGTTCAAAATTGCAACCATAGTTATGACATTAATTCGGGGGAAAATGACTTATTTTTGTTTAATAGTATCTAGTTACACATAATAAATGCATACTGCAGAGAAATAGAAGAATCTTTGACATTGTACTAAGACTAGTTATTTGTAGCAATTAATTAAATCAGGAAAACATAGATACCTGTTTTATAATGCCTAGAGCTGGATTTAAATAATAAACATAAAGATCTACAAGCAGACTAACAACAAAGAAAAAGAAAAAAAGGTGAGAACTCTTGGTTCTGGAAAGAAAAGAACATCTGTGAAAACCCAATTTCCTGCAGAACATGAAGCTTTGAGTAACACTGTCAGAGAGACAGAGGCAAGGCTGGCAGCAAAATGAGTTGTCTGGGCAAAAGCAACAGAGATACATGTGAGAGAACTGAAACAAACAAAAAAAAGAATTGAATAAAAAATCTGACAAACAGTGTGCTAAAACTTGCACAAGGTTTTTTTCTTGAAATTATGTCTCTGCCAAAGTCCCTTTAAAGTGGACATTTATCCAGATGAGAAAGCAGGGATACTAGCAGCTTAAAAGAGGTTCAGACACCTCATTAATTGAATTGTTTTTGTTTGAAGTGAAAGAGAAATTCAAGAAAGCCATGGTTTTCAATGTACACATTAAGGAGAAAAAAAATGGATCTATCAGATAGATACTCTCAGAGATAGTATTGAAGAACAGGAGGACTAGATGGTGGAACTTTACAGAGAAAATGAAGAACAATTAAAAAATGTTAAAAAGGTAGAAACGTGTAGCATGCTACAGCTTAGGATGGATGAACTCAGAGGAGGTCTTTGACAAAAAGATGAACTTGTTGATAAATATAACTTGATTATAATCCCTAATAGCACTCCCAATGGTGACAAAGCAATTGTGAACTAGTGGTTGAAGCCATCACTCTTGTGTCTCAAAAAGCTGCTTAGGTCTTGGAGTCAGCAGAAAAAAGGCCACTGACAGAATTTGGAAATAACTACAATGTGCAAACAGTGTTAATCTGTGTGATAGTAACACAAATTATACTTTAAATCAGTAAAGCTACAAAAACTTGCTGGATAAAAAGAAGAACTACTACTGTCACAGCTTAGAAAACTGAAGCTACAGTTAGAGGAAGAACAGCAGGAGACTTCCAAAAATGATGGCACAGCAGGTAACCTGGTAGAACTGCAGAAAGGCTCAGATTGGAAGTTCATAAAAATGCAGGGAGATGTCAACAGACAAATTAGTGAAAGTTGAACATGAACGGAAAGTAGAAAAGAGAAAGCTACAATGAGAGTTTATGAACAGCACTGGACAAGTTGAGTAAATGGAAATGACCAAAAACCACTTGACCAAGTAGCTGGAGTAGATGAAGGTCAACAGGACAGCACTTCTGACCTCACAACAGGCAGAACACCCTTTGACCTGGGTGCTGCTCTTTGGAGACCTGACCAGAGGGACTGACACTTTTTTGTCCATTGACACAAACTCCTTAGTACTGCTTGAATTTTGTCATTAAAACAGCTACCTTTGTATATTATAATTTATAGAGAATAAAGCAGGTTTGAATCCTTATAAATAAATACTTAGAATGGTTTGTAGTTTGATTTTAGAATAAAAATCAACTGTCCAACTGTTTTTCTTTTCTATTTCCATAATTTTAGAATCAAGTTTGTGCAACACTTTCCTCCAGCTGCTTCAGTAAGTTAGCTGTAAATGTGTGGATTTATGTCTGGGTTCTCTATTCTGTTTCATTGATAATTCTATGTTTAATGATTTGAGGAACTACCATATTGTTTTCCATTGTGGCTGTACCATTTTACATTTCAATACACAAGGGTATCTACATTATCAATACACAAGGGTTCCAATTTTTCACATCATCACCAACACTTGTTATTTTCTGAGTATGGGTTTATATGTATATAATAGTTATCCTAATGGGTGGAATATGTCATGGTGGTTTTGAGTTGCATTTCCCTAATTAGTAATGCTGAGCATCTTTCCATGTTCTTTTCTTTTTTAGATTAGAAAATATAGTTTATTTAGAAAGCAAACTAGAGAGGGAGAAAAAGAGGAGATTCACCCCCCAAGGTAGGGGAGGGGACCAAAGCCAGGAAACACGGTGACAGCCATAGCTCAAAGAGCACAAGGACACATCAGAGTCCAATGGCCTCAATGGCCTGGCAATGGTCCCTTCCATGTTCTTATTGACCACTTGTTTCTCTTCTTCAGAGAACTTACTATTCAAGATCTTTGCCAATTTTTGAATTGGTTTGTTTTGACTTTCTTGGTCATTGATTTGTAGAAGCCCTTTGTATATTTTTGATATTAGTCTATTATTATCAGATATACTATTTGCAAATATTTTTTTCCAAGGGTTACCTTTTAATTCTGTTGATAGTGTTTTTTGATGCACAAAAGTTTTTAATTTTGAAGTCTAGTTTACCTTTATTTTTCTTTTGCTGTCTATGCCTTTGGAATCATATCTTTTTTGGTTTATGTAATAAAGCACATCATTCTTCTTGTGCTTCCTGTGACTTCCTATATGACTCTAAGGACTCCTCAGTCTTAGATGCAAATGAAGAGACTTTCTCTTTGTCCTTTATAATAATTTAGTTGACCTACATAATATATTTAAATAACAATGAATTTTATTTTAAAATCAAATTGTTGGAAAGGATTTAATACCATTGGGACTTGCTGAGAGAAAACTTTATTAAAATGTTTATTTCAGTCTTATTTCTTTAAAAAAAGCATTCAGCCTAAACAGAAACATGTATGTAAACCATTTGGAAGAAAAAGGATCACAATGTCTACATTGGTGCTCAAAGAGTTGTGAGATTATTAGTGATTTTCATCACACCCCCAAATTTTCCTCATTTTCCAAATTTTCACAATTGAACATATATGTTACTTACTATCAGAAAACTACAGGGAATGTTACAATGACAGAACCAGAAAAGGAAACTTAGAATGGACAAGATTCAATTATGAAACTAACAGACTGAGATATAAGCCTAAAAATTTAATTTTGTAAATCCTATAATAATACACGGTACACAGAAGTAAAATAATTAAAAGAAAAAAATTACCTACAAACTGACAGAATTTGGAAATAACTACAATGTGCAAACAGTGTTAATCTGTGTGATAGTAACACAAATTATACTTTAAATCAGGAAAATTATAATTGTCATCTAAAATTAAAAAAAATTTTAAATAAGTGATCAACATTAGAAATATGGACAAAATCAATATTACTAATGATTACTAGCGAGAGAAAAATTTACCATTTCTTTAATGTTGAAATTTAGATTATTTCTAATGAACTCAAAAGTGCCAATCAAATGTTACGATTTTTAAAAAATTAAGTATTACCTTACATTTTGGCTTTTTCCTAAGGCTTTTAAACCCAGCATCAAGAAGGGCAAAAGTAGAAAGTCAGTATCAGGACTGGGGTTATTGTTAAGTCAGTCAACAGGTTTATTGTCTGGAGTGTTCACTAGTCACATAGTTATATAAACCACACTGGCTCTTCATCACAGGCCCTCACAATCCCCCACTCCCATCTCACCTCCTCCTCCTCCCCCCACAGGAAATGTTATGAGGATTTTTCAATCTAAAATCAAATAATTTGTGAAAAATACAGAAAAATAGAATATAACATATTTAAATAACTGGCAGTCACACCACTCAAAGTTCATCAGTGCTAATTTTGGGTGTTTTTAAACTTTCAAGCATTTGTTCTATAAGCTACTCCACCTATCTCTCCCCTCTCCAATTCCCCGGGCTAAAATCAGAGGTTGATTTAGTACGGGTGGGTGCCTTGTCTTCTCACATTATCTGACATTTTCTCTTAGGTCTTGGAAATTATAAAAGTAAGATATCGGTTAAAAGTTGAATAGATAAACTAATAAACATACTGAGTTTCTAGAAAACTCCCCAGGGATGACTGGGAGACGAATGAATCAGCCATATTAGAACCTGTGAAGGTGAGCAGAGTTGGAAACTTGATAGATCTAATAATTTATTGGCTCAGGCTTTGTCAATCACAACAGCCCAGCAAATGAAATTAGAGCAGAATTGTGGGCGGGAAAGGGGTGACGCAGCAAGCTATTTGCACCAAGAAAATTTAGTCAAGAGACAACTGCGTAATCACATTGCAGCAGTGTTTTTTCTTGCTGCAGCAGCCGCTTGCGGAGGAGTTCTGCCCACTGCAGCGCTCTGCAGTCTCTGGCCCGCTCCCGTAGGACCCGTCACGGCAGCCATCGTCGCCCTCTGCATTCAGCCCATTTCGCCGCTGTTTCAGTACGGCTTTTAAAGCCTCAGCACTGATTTTTATCCGTGTCAGCAGCCTCGATCTTCGCTCTCTCAGTCCGGCCGCCACTGCTTCTTCCACCTCCGCCTCGGGCACCGCCGCTTCTGATTTTTCGGTGAGTCTTTTCCTGCGGAGGTCAGGTCTCCTGATCTCAGTGATAAACACCTTAGGTGTGTGTTGTCCTTTGAAAAATGGCCGAGTCAGCCGACCACAAGGAGCTGTCAGAATCCGGTCAAGAAGATGCTGGCAAAAAGATAATAATGGAAGGGCCGGGGGAACATCGAGAGTGCGGTGAAGATGCCGCTGCTGGGCCTGGAGATGATGGGAAGCGCGGCGAAGAAGCCGCGGCTGGGCTAGAGGAAGAAGGGGGAAAAGGTGAAGATGCTGCCGTTGGGTCCGGGGAAGACAGGGAAAAAGATGTAGATACTGATGAGGATTCAGACACAGACCGTCCAAAAGGACTTATCGGTTATCTTTTGGATACAGACTTTGTTGAAAGTCTACCTGTGAAAGTTAAGTACCGTGTGTTAGCCCTGAAAAAGCTTCAAACTAGAGCGGCCAATTTAGAATCTAAGTTCCTGAGGGAATTTCATGACATTGAAAGAAAGTTTGCTGAAATGTATCAACCTTTACTGGAAAAAAGACGTCAGATCATCAATGCAATCTATGAGCCTACAGAAGAAGAATGTGAATATAAATCAGATTCTGAGGACTATGCTGATGAAGAAATGTATGATGAGGAAGAGATGTGTAGTAATGAGGATGGTATAATACATGAGTATGTGGATGATGATGATGGTTATGAGGACTATTATTATGATTATGCTATTGAGCATGATGATGATGATGATAACGATGACGACGATGACACTGAGGCTTCTGGAGACGACAACAAAGAAGAAGAGGATCCTAAGGGAATTCCTGATTTTTGGCTGACTGTTTTAAAAAATGTTGACACACTCACTCCTTTGATTAAGAAATATGATGAACCTATTTTGAAGCTCTTGACAGATATTAAAGTGAAGCTTTCAGATCCTGGTGAGCCTCTCAGTTTCACCCTGGAATTTCACTTCAAACCTAATGAATATTTCAAAAATGAGCTGTTGACAAAGACCTATGTGCTGAAGTCAAGGCTAGCATATTATGATCCTCATCCCTATAGGGGAACTGCAATTGAGTATTCCACAGGCTGTGAGATAGATTGGAATGAAGGAAAGAATGTTACTTTGAAAACCATCAAGAAGAAGCAGAAACACCGGATCTGGGGAACAATTCGAACTGTGACTGAAGATTTTCCCAAGGATTCATTCTTCAATTTTTTCTCTCCTCATGGAATCAGCTCAAATGGAAGGGATGGAAATGATGATTTTTTACTTGGTCACAATTTACGTACTTACGTAATCCCAAGATCAGTATTATTTTTCTCAGGTGATGCACTTGAATCTCAGCAGGAGGGGGTAGTTAGGGAAGTTAATGATGCAATTTATGACAAAATTATTTATGATAATTGGATGGCTGCTATTGAGGAAGTTAAGGCCTGTTGCAAAAATCTTGAGGCATTAGTAGAAGACATTGATCGCTAAAACAGGTTATATATGGCCCTGAAATTAACTGCCCCAGATCTAGTTACTCAAGATATAAGAAGTCCTATGTTCTGTATTTTTCTTGTATTCTCAGTTAAAATATATGTATGAGAAATATAACACAAGTTCAAATACTAATTAACTTGACCTTGCATTTTAGTAGTAGAGTGTTTTCAAGAAATGTAGACTGTGACAAATTATTTAAGACATTAATATTGTATTGTGTAGTTTAATCCTTCTGAAGTGCTTCTGTCATGTAGCTATTAATCTGTGGCTGTGACTATTATCAAAAATGCTAAATGAGGTCAATATTTGGAAAGTAAATCTTGGGAAGCATCCCAAGGGTTTTTGTTGTTATTGTTTTATTTTTCATTTTTGTGTTTTTAGTCCTTTAGCTAGTGGTTTTAATTTTGTTGTGCCTGCTTCATTTCGCAATAAAAATACAACAGAATTTAAAACTTGATTGCTTAAGAAGAGGCCTGCATGTGGTTAAGAATTTCAGGCAAAATCACATTTATTGTTAATAACAGCTTGTTCATAGGCTCTTGTATTTTATGTGACTGTGATAAATAATGAAACTTAATCATACTGAGTTATTGTTTATCCGTGAATTGATCATTACAGTATTTTCAAAAGTTTGCACTACTGTGTATAATTCTCTTTCCCTATAGTATATTGAATCATTCATTGAAAGTGGTCACTTTAGCATTTTGAAAAGATATTTCATGTTCTTTCATTGCAAAATAAAATGAATACAAATTCCAGAGTGCTTCATGCTTAAAAACTGATCTTTTCTTATATAAAAGTAATATATTCATTTGTAGGACATTTGGAAAATGCTAAAAATGTATTAATTAAAACCAAAACCCCTATACCCCAAAGATAAGCACTGTTAATATTTTATTTTCTAATTATTATTGTATGTGCTTATACATGCATGCAAATTTACTAACACTATATTAAGATGTTCACATAAAGTGTATCTTTTTTAATGTTTATAACTGGTCTGATCTTAATCCTGAGTCCACCTCCACTCCACAAAGTTGCAGGGAAACAAAATCCTCAATTCTAATCAATCCAATAAATTCATTGCTGTTTAATAATTCCAGTACTCTTTAGAAATAACAGGCTCTTGTGTGTTATTTTGTATTTCATATTTATTTCCTACCCTTCTACAATGTCATCTGGATGTATTACCTAATGACGTTGTGAAAAGGAGGAGTGCATTCACTGGAGAAAAATGGAATGTGATTGATCAGGCCTTGACTCAGAGCTGATTATGCCTTCATAACATGTAGAAATTCAGTGATTTGGCTTCTCTCTTTGGCAGATTCTGTGAAGATAGCATTCATCCCCCTAGGACAAGAGGAAACTTCTTGGTCCCTTCCACTCTACAATGAAGCTGAAAGTAGCTAGGAAATGTTAACTGTATTTCATTATTACTGCCTAGCCACTCTTCCAGCCCAGGTGATAGTGATGTGATCACATAGAATTATAAACCAAAAGTGGAGCAGAATCTCTTCTGCTCGTGACTAACTTTTCCACTATCGAACATGCCTCTTCCTTCAGATTTTGGTCCAGAGAGGTAAGTTTATAACAGTACCTGCTTTTCATATTTCTGTCTCATCTATACAATCAACTGGGAAGGAAGGTATGAAATTTTCCTTTCCTTTTTCTGTCTGGACAGGACCCTCCTCTAATGTTAAATCTTTCTCCCAGGGATTAGAGGAGATATTCACTTGCTTTTCTCTGGGGTTACAATAACTTACAGTATATTTGGAAACAGACAACTTACTATTTTTTTAAAAAATTATTTTATTATTATTGTTTTTTATTTTTGACTACTTACTGTTATAAAAGACCCTAAATCAGGAGATACTTCCAATGTATACCTGGTAAATATAGATTTTTTTTCACACTTTTCACCACCATTAATCTTGACCTTTCTCAAATTCCTAACTCCTCCCAAGACCCTCCTACACAAAGATTAGGCCCCATTTAATTGTGTCTACTGTTATTGTGTATTAAAAAGTCAGAAACATTGGCGTATCTCTCCTGCTATTTCAGAGAGAGGTACAGTACTTTTTTTTTTTGCAGTCCCCCTTGTCCCTTTCTTGGACTTGCCCTAAAGACAGGATAGTTCTTTTTGGTATATCTCTCATGTCAATGGCCTCCAGCAAAAGGCAGGGACACACCTACAGTTGAACACGTTGGGTTTATTCCTCATTGCACAGAGAGAGTATGCATTCGTTGAATATATCAGTAAGTGGGTGTTAGAGAAAACATTGCAAGATTTAGGCTTTGGTTGTAAAATTTGGTAGAGGGTCTAAGGAAAAGGGGGTTTACTCTAGATTGAATGCTGATAGAAAGTGGGGGCAATTTTATAATTGGTAGTGCAATAAATCTTATCCATAGAGAAGGGAGACTAGAGCAAAGGTAGAACTGTAATTGGTAAAGATAATGTAGTCGCTCATTTTAGCCTATATGTGGGGGTTGGTATTTTGTGGATAGCACAGTGACCTTGTTTTCATCTGTACTTGGGAATACTTAAGTGGTCTTGCTTTGTCTCATTTTATTATAGTTCTGGAGTAACCTTGTCTCAAGTTGGTATTCTATGAAAAGGTTTATGTCCAATAGAATAGCATGACCTAGTTGTGAGTGCCAGGCCAACTTCTTAATGTTAGGAACTGCTATTGGTTTCTTGCCTCTTCTTAGGGATAGAATTTGAGGCTCTCTTTTCTCTTATAGCTTGTGGTGGGATGGAGGCTCATTCCATTTTTGTTTATACTAGTATAAAAGTCATTTAGACCTTGAGGGTAGGCTACCAGCTTCAGTCTACATACCAGACTTTTTTGTACTAGGATTTAGGACTGAAGTATAACAAAAATAGTTTATCTTAATTCTCCTTATATGTGTCCTTAAAAATTAATCATTATATAGTCTTTAAAAGGTAATTGAAATGGCTATTGGGCCTTGTCAGAATTTTGGTATTCCTAGAGAATATATTGAAAAACACAAATACAACAAAATTCTTATTTTTGGATACATAGTGATTTATAGTGCAAACTACAATATTTAATGTTATACATCATGTATCAGAGTGACGAGTCTTCAGAATCAGGCTGCCTGGATTCAAATCTCAATTCTGTAACTTACTAGTTGGGTGTTCTTGTGCAAGTTACTTGATGCATCTCAGTTTTCATGTCCATAAAATTATGGTAATAATTGTGCATTTACCTCATAAAATTATTATGAAGTATCAATTAGTTTATGTAAAGTAATTAGAACTATGCATGACACGTAAATGCTATATATGTATATATTTTATTCTTTTTATTAATAAGTTTATATCTATAAAATACTCAAAACGAATACGGTAAAGATGAAGTACATTTTTATTATTAAATTATTAATAATTGTTCCCTTAACTTGCTTCTAATTTGCACAAAAGTGAAATCATATAGTTTGCATTTTGATGACAGAATCTCTAAGATATCTGCAAGTGTTAAAGGGGGCTAAGTGGCAAGTTTAGTATCAGTACTTATGTTACTGACAAGCCTGGCTAATAAAAAGAAAAATACAATGAGTATGGTGCTACTTCCTCACTGCCAAGTACATTCATTAGCATTTTATTTGTGTATACTAAGCTTAACACTCGTCACAGGTCATTTGTTCACTGGTCAATAAATGTATCATTTATTTAAAATATTGAAAATTAGAGAAAAAAAGAATATAGAAAATAAAAACCACATGAAATTAAAAGTTGTTCATAGACATATAACAGGTTTGACTTTTCAGTTACCACATATATATGCAACGTGAAGCTGATTATTTTAAGGCAGAAAATCTTTCTAAAAGAAATACAAAGAGTAACCTTATACAAAACATACCTCTGAATCACTGAAATGTATTTTCTTCAAATTCGTTACCAAATAGCACAGGTTTTTAAAGTTAAAAAAAGAATGCTTAAAATGAGACAATCTCTTTCTTTTAAGAAAAAATATTAATGATTCATTTTTTGATCTAGTCTCAGTATTGATAAACTCTCAATAAAAACTCCTGAGGTTATGTAGCCAATGGATAACCCACTTCCTCCCTTCTGACGCTCTCACACACTTCCACACCCCCCACTGGCTGGCTCTCTGCGTGTGTATGTGTGCGTATGTGTTTGTGCCTGCTCACGCGTGGGATGGGGCGTGAAGTGGGATGGAAGTGTATGAGAAGAGACAATGACACCTTATAAAGAATCCCAGTCCCTATAAAACTTTTCTTCCTGGGCGTGTGCCTGCGTGTGTAGGGGGAGAGGGAGAAGAAGGTGAGAAGAGATTGAATCCTCATAAAGGCTCCCTCATTTATCCTAGTTTTAAGGCTTGTTTGGTAAGATTAGTGCTTAAATAAAAATTTCACAAGGCAACTTCATGAAAATGGTAAAGGTAACTATACAGTTCTATTACATTTTTAGTTTCACATTTGAAATATTTCTATATTTTCTCTCCTCTCTGTCTCTCTCTCTCTCACACACACACACATACACACACACACACAGGACTTAGAGAAAAATTCCCAACGGGTGAAACAAACATCAATGAGTGTTTTTTCATTTACTATTTTTCCATCAGTTTTCAAGGTGAAACAAGGTAATGCAAAGTGATATTTTGTATGTGTTATATGTGTATATGCTCACATCTGTGCACGAATGTGCACGTGTTATTGCAGAATATAACAGTAATGAGTGGAAAAAATATTTAGACAATAATTATTAGCCAATAATCTATGTTGTCTAAAATATTACCTAGAGGTTTTCAATAATCTTATGGATAAGGGATGCGAGTGAGCGACTTGTGATGAGTTCTTTTCCCCCGCTATGACGAGGTAATTGTTATTTCATAACTAGGAGAAATTGAAAAGTTTTTCCTTCTTGAGGCCCACGTTAGCCAGGCATTTACAGTTCATGTACCAGAATTAAACTTGCATACTCTTACTATAAGTTAACACAGTGTTTGTAGAGTATGTCAACATTATGTCTTCACTAGAGTGCATTTGAATGAGGTGGTTATCTTCATTTTTCAGATGAGAAATCTGAGATGTAGGCATAGTAACTTGCCAGTATCATTCAACTAGTCTTCAGGTCTGACCTCATTGTTTGTGCTCTATTCACCATACTACACTGCCCTCAGTGAAACTGAATGATGCTGTTAGCTTGCTTAAGATTAACATGCCTCTATGTTTATTAAAACTGCCTGGTACTAGCACAAGAATAGGTTATATTCCTTTGTCAGGTTTGTTACCTCTTTGACATAGAACTTGTAACAACTGAGCCAAACTTTAAAAAAAAAGTCCTAATAGAGCTTGACAATGTGAAAATATTGCAGGAATAATTAAACCTTATTTTCTGTTAAATATTCTGTAATGTAGTGTTTGCTAAGATGGCCTATTTTTCTCACATAATAATCATAGATTTTATTTATTTATTTATTTGCATTTTTTAAATGTCATTTTTTTCTGGGTTCTTCTCCCTATTATGAAAGTTTTATATAATGTGACCTGGAGCAAACTAATCAATCCCATTTGTCAGAAATTTCCTTATATACAATGATGATAACTAGTAGTGTCTATGACATATGATTGCTTTGATGATTCATCGTGAAAATGATTGTCAAGCATTTAACCCAATGCCTGTCACTTAATAATTCCTAAAACATTAAGTGACTATTAATATAATCATTACCAGCCAGGCTCGGTGGCTCAGCCTGTAATCCCGCGCCTTTGGGAGGCTGAGGTGA